TCACTTCCCAAGGTCTGCATGGATGGAATGCATCTGTCCTCTAAACTGCATCTGTTATCAGTACAAGTATTACTTGTAAGCCAATTTTCTAGTATTACTTTTAAGATAAACTGTCTGAAATAGGATGGTCACAGAGAGCAAAGTAAAGCTCACCCATGAGTGAGGAAGATCACTGTATTCTTCGAATCAGAGCCGAATTTCATCTTGAGTTTTGTTTACTTACAAAGCTGAGTTTTATGAGACTCCAGAAATCCAAATTCCATCTGATAAAAACTAAGTACAGAGTAGTAACCTAGCATATTGAGGGTTTGAGTCTTTTTCTCTATTCTATTTTTTTTAACAACATGGAAACAATTAATGCAGAAAAATAAGTAATCTGGTTATGTTTATTAACAATTAAATTAAAACCTGTGTGTCCTTCTTAATGATTTTTTTTAAACTTACCTTTTGTTGTAAAAGAAAATAGGCCTATGTCAGCCTAGTGTTACAAACTCAGAATATAAATGGATACAATTTGTATAACAATGAATTGAATTTCAATATAAAATACAAAGATAAATGTTTATGTAGTGATCGATATTTCATAAATATTTTGGAAATTTGTTTATCCAAGATACCAGTAAGACAACAGGGTTATAATACTGTTTAGGCTGTATCAGTATATAAAATCTATTTGTCATCTTTACTAAATACATTTCATTAACAGAATACAAATTATACAGATGAGATTGCTGCATTTCTTGTCCTTATCATGCACATCTTCCATGTGATCTGTCAAGTCCAACATGGGGATAAAGCAGTATGTACTTTAGACAAATTACTGATAGCAATTGATGTGTTTCTTCTTTGTACAGCATATCAAAGTTCAAAATAAAGAGCATTTATTGTGATATGAGGGAGGAAAAATTAAGATTAAGCTAATTTTAAAATACATTATATTTTGAAGATCAAGATTCTAGGCAGGTACTTGAGGTGAAGGCGCCCAGTGTCCAAGAACTGGATTCTTTTCTGTTAGTGAATAAGATAATGAAAGTGCAATGTTAGAAGATTGGGATTTTTGGCTTCTATAAGTGAGCAAGTGTTAGTGTAGTGTTAGTGTTCCAAAAAGTAACATATGTCCTTGTTAACATCAACAGCTTCATAATGCAGCTATTCAAATTATATACTCTAATTCGCTCCTCTGCCTCAGAGAAGTGCCGTGCTTTCCTCTAAGGCTGTTATGATTTTAGCTTCAGAGCACTGCATGAAAATTCCCTCTGGTCTGGAGGGTGCACTGCTTTCTGATGGGTAGACCTTGTTAAAGTTAGGTTTTTACCACAGTAAAAAATGAGTTACACTGCTCTCTGATAAACTAGTTGTTGATTTGGCCAAATGAGTTTGAGAAATGCTTGCACAGAATGTAAATGTAATGCATTTCTTTACATTTCATGATATATGCATGTTTATGCACTAGTTACGTGTAACTAGTTTCCCCAAGTATTTTGGAAAAATAACAAATAAATGTATTTCTCCTTACTGTCTACTAAATTTGAAAGTGTAACTCAGAAAGTGAGTGAGTGAGAAAGGAGATGAGGCAACATAGCTGTTCCAGGAGGTACAAAATGGACTGATTAGGTCAAAACATATTTTCTTTCATATACAATATGGAATCTGTCCAAAAGGCAGGACTGAAGGCAGTCAGTATGACATCAAGAAAGATATCACCACTGTGTTTAAATGACACTTGGACTACAGATCTTCTTAGATGTAAGATCATATAAGAAGGATAAATCTAAACAACTTTGTAGGGGATGCAGGTATTTTAATCCACAGAAAATAAGCAGGATGTGGTACTAAACTAACATGCAGATGCCATTGGACCAATGTGGGATCATTCTTAGTGGAAATTTGTAGCAAGGATGAACTTTGTCCTGCAGCAAGATTTCTGATCTGGCTTTGACTCTCTGATATTTGCTGACACCAATCAGATTTCTTTCAGTGTCATGACAAGAGTTAGTGTCTTAGAGCAACAATAAGCAAAGAAGTCTGTGCTATAGGGAAAGCATGATGCACCAGATGTAACAGGGCATGCAGAGTTACAGGAATAACCTTATTTGAGGGAGCATCTGCTTTAGGTTTAGATAAATTAATACCTTGAGACTTTCTGGATAGCAAATTTACCTCTTGTCGAGATGTCAATAGCCTGAGTATCTGAGAAAACAGAAAATAATTGCTGCATCCTGATATTCTTCTGTTACAAGAATTTATTCATCCTGAACTGCCTGATCACTGTAGCATTCAACAACATGGTGAGTTTTTTTATTTTCAATTACTAACCTTTACTGTACATGATACTACGTAAGATTGCATGTATGTAGTGTGTGTCTTCTCTGAGTAACTGGTTAGCTGTCAGGGGGCAAGAAAAAACATCAATAATACCAACAATTTTTAGCTCTTAAATTCTGAATTAAATGTTTCTTATATTAAGCATGTGTCATTATATATACAGATCTGTATGGGTATTTTATTTTGATTGCATTTACTTTCTCAGTAATTTCCTTATATTTAAAGAAATTAATCATAGGACTGTTTAGGTTTCAAAAGATCATTTAGTGCAACTATTAACCCAGCACTACCAAGTCCACGTCTAAACCGTGTTCCTGAGTGCTGTGTCCACACATCTTTTAAAAACCTCCAGGACTGGGGACTCACCACTTTCCAGGAGCCTGTAACAGTGCTTGACAATCCTTTCCATGAAGAAATTTTTCCTATTATCCAATCTAAACTTCCCCTGGAACCTGAGGCAATTTCCTCTGGTCATGTCACATGTAACTTGAGAGAAGAGACTGACTCTCACCTCATTACAGCCTCCTTTCAGGTACTTGGAATGAACAAGGATGTCTGCCCTCAACCTCCTTTTCTCCAGGCTAAATTCATCCACCTTCCTCAGCTGCTCCTCATAAGACTTGTGCTCCAGACCTTTTACCAGTTCTGCTGCCCTTCTCCAGACACACTCCAGCCCCTCAATGTCCTTCTAGTGAGGGCCCCAAACTGAGCACAGGATTCAAAATGTGCCCTCACGAGTGCTGAGTACAGGAGTATGTATGATCCCCTCCTTCATCCTGCTGGCAACACTACTTCTGTTACAGCCCAGGATTCTTGGCCACCTGGGCACACACTGACTCATGTTCAGCTGCTGTTGACCATGTATCCCCATGACTTTTTCCACCAGGCATCTTTCCAGCTGCCCCACCCTAGGCCTATAGCATCGCATGGGATTGTTTTGACCCAAGTGCTGGTACTTGGCCTTGTTGAACCTCAGCCAGGTTCAGGCCTCAGGCCATCAATCCAGCCAGTCCAGATCCCTCTGCAGAGCCCTCCTGCTCTCCAGCACTCCAACCTCTCTCCTAACTTCTTGTCATCTCCAGACTGGCTGAGGGTGCACTCGGTCACCTTGTTCAGGTCATTGATAAAGATACTGGACAGGACTGGCCCCAACACAGAGCTCTGGGGAACAGCCTATTCTCTTCCTCCCCAAGCTCTGCCACTAAGGGCAGGAATTCCCCCACCTGGGCACCCCTCCCACAGGGGTGCTGAGAGCAGGGCCAGCCCTGCAGCTGGCACCGGGATGCAGCCTGGTCTCACCACAGCTCCGTCTGGGCAGCCGAACCAGCCCTTCCTGTGTGCCCTTCCAGACTCATTACCTTCTGGAAACACATACCTGGCATAAATTGAATTATCTGGTTTCAGCTTAGATTAAGTACTTGATTTGTAATTAAAATCCAAATGGTAAAACAAATTGAGAATGACAAATGCAGTTTATTGAATCAGTAGACAACTGCTTTCCTGTTCTGTCTCCAATGCAGTTCCATTTGATTTACTAATTATATGCAAACTATCATTATACTGTGGATCTTCATAACAATTTTGGTATTTCAGCAGAGATGCTTCTTGGTTAGAATGACTGAAATGGATTGGTGGAGTAATTTGTATCATTACAGTTACTGATAATTTGTATTGCTACACCATCTATCAGACTGTTGTTTTCATATGTTTGGGAAATAAAAAGCTATTTATTTTCTATGAGGAAATCTTGAATAAATTTAAAGCTTTGCTTTAAATACCAAGATATGGTATTCTTTTTAACTTTGCAAAATGCTTTCTGCTGAACATCTATACCTCTGTGCAGAAGGAGAAAAAAGTTCTGACTTTGAAATATTACTAGTGTTGGTTACCCTTCTAAATGCATAATATTATCTTATGGTCTTACTCACAGCTGTAGCACTACTAAAACAAGAGAAGATATATGAGGCATGAATGATGTGTTGTCTTCTTGCAGGGAAACAGAATGCAAATTTCTGGCATATTATTCAAAGTTGAATTATTTATATATCAAGTATTATTCTGGCAAATCCTGATTAAACTTAGATGAATTCTCTTAATCTCTTCAACAGTTTGCCTTGCAGTTTCTTGCAATCTTCCTGACTCCCCCAAAATCTATGAAAGATGGGACTTCCATATACAGGACTGAATAAACATTATTTAGATCCCTAAATCTCTGTAGCTATATTGGTATATATTTCATTTTTAAACATTAAAAAAAAAAATTTTACTATAGGTAGGAAAACAAGGTATTATATTGGTGCAGAACCTGTTTAATTGGTTAATTATAAAAATGCAGTGGAAAGACAATAAAAAATCGGATTCAGATAGTCTTTGTATTTCAGTGCTGCAAGTATGAAACCTTCACTGTGCATAATAAAAAGATAAATCTACCCTTGCAGAATAGTGAAAGTCTGACCAAGGTATATTAGTAATGTCTTCCAGCCCATTGGTAAGTAATTATACAAAGTAGTTACAGTTCTGAGTGTAAGGAGTGATGTCAGGGTCCTGAAAGTGGATGGATCTCCAAGGGGACATGTATTGTTCATGGCAATTTTAGGGAGACAAGAGGTGTCTCAGTAAGGCAGTTTTGTTGCAGGGTGACAAAGCTCGAGTGATCAGTGTCTCTTTGTTCCCAGACTGGAGTCTGCAGTGTTTGAAACACCTCTGGGAAATGAGAAAGCTTATGGGCTACTAACAGCCTTTAAATGCTTGCACCGATGCCATTAAATCCAGATGTTTGACAGGACTCAGTGAGTACAGTGTTTCTGCTTTTGCTGATTTCCATGGGAATGCTTGTCTCTCATGCTGTACTGTGGGCTCGTGGTTGAGGAAGTAATTTATTTTTTAAAACCAAAGAAAGCTTGGTCTACAAGTAGTGGGATTCTCTGGGAAATCTATTGCTCTGCACTATTAATTCTCACCTGCCATCGTCACTTAGCCTTCAAATAGATTGTGTCAACGCTAATGTTGCAATTTTTGATTTCAGATGTGATAGCTGACCTTCTGCTTGGGGGATAATGTACAGGCTGGCAGAGATGTGTGCTCATGAGGAAGGGTGTTAACTCAGAATTTATTATTCTTTGGATAGCCAAGGATCATCTATTTATCTAAGCATGAATGAGTATTAAATTGGGCTAGAAATGCAATTGATAAATGTTATTGCTTGCTATAACGTATTACTATTTATGTCACAATTTAAACTGTGTGCTACCAGGAAATTGTAGTGATGGCTGTATAATAACTACACCTATAAATGCTTTTCTTCAATGTATATAATGTTATATTTTCCTATAATTAATTACTTTTTTTGTTAAAATGTGATGGCATGTCACTAGACACATGAAATATTGAGAGTTCTTCAGATAATCCGACACACACACAGCTGCTTCATGAGCCAAAAGCCTTTATTTTTGGGGTCATGACAACCCTTTTATAGTTTTTCTAACCAGGTTACCCTGACTGGTAGAAGGAACAACACCCCCTTTGATCCCATTGGTGGGACCAGAGAAAACACATCAAGGACATCTGCTCCGTATTATTCTGAGAATTATTATCTCTTTACAATAACACAATTCTGGAGAGAAAACTGTTCCCAGGAACTGTTCCCTCGGAACAGATGAGTTCCTGTCAGGCCTAAGTTTCTCTAAGGCTCAGAAATCCTGTCCACAGTGGCACTACCTATTGCACCAATTCTGAAATGACAATTTAATATCAGTCACAAGTTTATTTTCCTGCTTTATAGATGCTGTTTAATAACTTTCATGATTTAGTATTCATTCTCTATTCTCACTCTGAAATGCTTTCCACAAGTGGCATTGATCAGGGTACTAAGGATGAGTACATCTCACCCAAGTAACCCATTCAAAATTAGTGGTTTAGGTGTCTGGAGTCTGTCTTAGGCTGTGGAAATATCAGCAAAAAATAATGTTTTTGACCAAATCCCTAAATGATGAGGACAGATTACCCTACTGTAACCTCTAGATGTACCCATGTCTCCATCTCTAGAGGAATCACTGGCATAGGGCTGAGATCAGGTGAATGATTTTTTTAATTATTTTTTTAATGAATGGGTGTCTTTTAAATTACTATTATTCAATTGCGGGCTGCTTTTTTGTAGAGCAGAAATAAGAACATTTAGTTAAGCACAGAAATTACTTTTGGTTGTGTGTGGCTTTCCAGTATGAGTTACAATATGTAACTTATTACATATTGTAATTGTACATATATTATGTAACAATATGTAACAAAAAATACTTTTTCATCCACATATTCTTGAATGAATAAGGAAATACAACAACATAAGAATCCACCCGAAAGCAGTTTGTCTTAGTAAGAGAAATTTGTCTTTCAGTCCCTTTGGTTGGTCTCAAAACACAAGTTTAAAAAGCCAATCATATCTGCAGTGTCAAAGTTTTACAGTGAGCATGAGTTCTCTGGAATATCTGGAATATTCAATTTGTTCACAGTCAGTCATATTTCTCAGAACCTTTTTTTAGTCCATGCCAAGTACTAGAAGGTTTGTGCTGTAATATGTGGTGCACATTTGCAAACCCTGGTTTGTGACCTTAAATGGCAGCATTTAGAAAGTATTCTTATGTCTTCTTTCTTCTCCTTGTGGTTTAAAAAAGGGGGTTTTCTTCATTGAGGTACCTCCCCAGTGTGTGTTTCTCTGCTTTTGAGAACAGGAAAGTGTTGGGTAGTTATTTTACCTATCTACTTTCCCCTTGGCCTGAAAGACCCCATTTACCTATTAAGATTCTGCTTTCCATCCTCCTTCATTTTCAGGAGCTAAGGAGTGTGGACTAAGTGCTAGCAATCTCAGGAGAGCCTCCTTGAACTGCCTGTGTCTGGCAGCAAATAATTTTTCTACTCTCGTTTCACTTCATCCCAGTAGGGATGATGGTTCTTTCCCTAGAAAAGGATTATCTAGCTTAGGAAATTTATCCTGTAGCCAGACCTAACAGTAAGAGAATCGCCTGTCCTGGATTATAGGGACAGGAGAAATGTGTTTGCAGAAGATGAGAGCTTTTGCCATTGCTTCAGCCTGTTACATAACAGAATTCAGGCTTGCCTTTTTAAGGCAGAAAACAGATTTTAAGGCGAAACCCACATTTCCTGTTTTTCGAGAAAATTTAGTTATAATACAGGAATACCTGGCCTTCTGCAGGGTAGAAGGACTACCAGATCTTTCCTTAAAAATCCTTCTCCATAAAAGGCAATTTACTATACGGAAGTGCAAGTCTGGCAGTTTTCTGAAGTGCAATGAACTATTTGTTAACACATGATATTAATAGTCCTAAGAACCTGCAATGCAGAGTACACTCTTCCAGTGGTCTGTAATCATCCCTCTTTTAATTATTAAAATGAAATTCTTCACAGTTTCACCTTTTACATTACTGCTATTAATCTCAGACTGGGAAACATATGCATTTTTTGTGGTTTTTGTGTTTGTAGACCACTTTAGCTTATAGTAGGAAAGATTGCTACCAATGTGATGTATTATTTGTTCTGAAAACTGCATAATGTGACAGAATATATTACTTAAACTACTGCTGAAGTGGGATCAAAGTGGTTCATAGGCCTTGGAATGGATCTGGAAGGCGCTGAGCAGGAGGTTGTTCTGGGGTGTGAAGTTGACCCTGCTTGCATTTAAGAGATTCCGTTTTTTTCTGGACTTTCATACTAGAAAAACCAAGGTATGTGAACCTATCATACCTCTATCTTGAAAAATATATTCTGTAGATCTAGAATTTGATATTAGTTTTTCTGATTGGTGCTCTTTTTCTATTATAAAGTAGATCCTATGTGAAAACATACTAAAATTGTTGTGTATTGTTAATCAATATAGAACAACTTAAAATTTGGGGCGAAAAACTAGGATGCTTCTTCTGTCTGTGCACAATTAATAGCTATTATAATTTTTAACCAACAATCCAGAAAAACCCATTTAGGCATAAGTAAAGGCATCCTAGTTTTTCATTTTTAACTTGGTATTTATTTTGTTAGTATGTATTTTGTAACAACTCAAGCACAGATTGTTTTGTAACCTCCTAACTGGCAGAAAGGCAAGAAAAAGGGATTTATCTATATCTATATTTATCTATATTTATCTACATACTATCTAATGTAATGTATACAGGTGTGTTATGTGTAGTGTCCTATTTAGGTTGCAGTGCCTAATCTTTTCTAATCATTCTCTCTGTTTTCCATACTATCACAGTTTGGATACCAAATGTCACACTTCCACAGCATGCAATCAGGCAACATGCCTGCTACTATATTTAGCCATTTCACAAGTCCCAAGTTAAATACATACTTGGAGAATTTCTTTTAATAAGAAAAAAAAAAAAAAAAGACAAAAAAATAAAAGAAAGAAAAAGAAAAATCATTACTGGATAGCAACAGGGAATAAACTGAGTGAGAAATAAAAGTCACACAAAGCCTTTTGCCTTTTCATATCAATGTTCTAATGTTCTGTCACTTTAGGGATTAAATGTATGACATTTATTGTTAGAATGCACCATTCCCACAGAAGATAAGAATCTGCTTTTCACTGTTTCATGGAGTTAATGGTAGTCTTTAATGGTCTTTAAGGAATTAATTTGAGCTTGATAATATTTGCTTTCAGAGTAAAACCTCATAGCAGCTATAAATGTAAATTCTAAGTAAATTGTTATTGTTGTTTTGTCAATGTTTTTGGAAAGTCACAAATACTTAAAGATTCTGCTTTAGCTTTGGGTAGATGTTTTGTAGACTTTGTATCAAGAATACATTCTTTAGTGAATACATACAGTCTTGATACAGTACATGTTTCTGAAAAAATTCTTCAGCTGAAATATCAGCTGTGATTCCTCGAGTTCTATCACTGTTCACTGACTTTTATTTTGCTTCTTAAATCATTTTCTCTACAGTGGTTCTACCTAAAGGGACTATTAAAATTCAGAGTCATTGAATCATGCAGAGCAAGAATGTTTATGCATGTGCTGTGCAAGTTAATAAGCACAAAAGTTTATACAAGCAAAGACAGTCTTGTTTTATATGGGTGCAGAGAGCTTTTTCACAGCATAGCTCCTTTGTTTCTCTTCACAGTAGAACCCATATTGTGATTCATCAATTATGAAAGTATTAGATAAAAACTTCTAAAAAGAGTAATTATTAATTAATAATGTTGTTCTGCAACTTTAAATTATTATGCAGTGGAAAATATAACCTGGAATACACAGCTAGTGAAAATAGAGCTGGGGGAGTGTTACCATGCTGCCATAGATTGAGAACTAGGAAAGCTCTGGAGAGGTAGGAAAGCTAAAAAAAAGAGAACATCTTGCCTCATTAACATACTGTTTTATAACTTTTTGTCCTCAGTAGGCACTCAACTTCTGTTCATCTGAGAAGTGCATTGTTTGTCATGTTTAATAGGTGGATTATACTAACATAGAACAATAAAATGTTATGGGTTGGGGGGGGACTTTAAAGGTTATCAGCACCCAAACCTCCCCTGCCATGTGCAGAGATATGTCTCACTAGAATTGTAGAATCAGAGAATCATAGAATCACTTGGGTTGGAAGGGACCCTAAAGTTCATCTAGCTCCAAATCCTACCTTACTATGGAAAGGATTGTCATCTGCTGGACTAGTTGCTTAGGACCCCATCCACTCTGACTTTGAACACTTGGATGGGCACCCCATAACTTTGGGCAACCTCTTCTAGTGCCTCATTAGCCTTATAACAAAGAATTTCTTCCTAATATCT